ACTCCAGTCATCCTCTTTTGAGTTTTTATGATGGTGCGTTGGTCAAGGACTCACTTATTGTTACTTAATTTCACTGTTGCGTGTAGCTGAACTATCGACAATAGGGTCATGGTCGACTAAGTCCAAGGTCATGGTGTGGTTCGGTGTATGACTACAAGCCCTTGACCGTCTGACCAGAAATGTTTCTGGAGCTCTTGCAGACAGATAGCTGATCCCATATTGTTTGGAATATTTTTACTTATTATTAGGTATAGAATTCTTGTTTATTAACTATGACTTTTTGTTGCCTAGCACGTTACTTTGTGTTAGAGATACCTTTGACTACGTGAGGAAGGACCACGGGTGAATTCGAGGAAGCTGTAAGAGGCTCAGAAGGAGCCAGAGATATTCCATCCAATCACCTTTTGCAAGAATATTCTATCCAAGATTTAAAGGGATATAGAAAATAAATACAAGACTACTACTTCATGTTTATCTAGTCCTTAGTACTAACAGAATTCGTTAGATCCTCGCAATGAGTCGTCGCACCTGGACCTTTGATTATAGTATTTAATATTTATGACAGGGAAACAACGTTAAAACCTGCCTTTTCATTGTAACAGATGTTCACTTAGGTTCATATACCATTAATTTCTTCTGGAACCCGAAAGATCAATGATCACCATTGATACACGATAAAAATTTCCTAAATGAAAGCGGGTGTAGACACACGTTCGTATGCAAGCATTTCGAAAGGTAGAGTGAACCTCCCCCCTCGCGCCCCCATCTCCAGTCGTACTTGGGAGCTTAACGTTTCCTAAATTATTCATCTAAAATTTCCAAAGAATCTTAGAAAATAATACAAACTCTGATCATATTATTTTGTGTGAGGACGGATCACGTTTCAACTCGAGGAAGCTGTATGAGGCCCAGAAGGAGCCCTAGATATTCCATCCAATCACCCTTTGCAAGAATATTCTAGAATTCCTACGTGTAGCTTCCCGATTGGACAATGCTAATAACACTCTGTATACGGATTGGAGGACTGTAGTGATGACTTTTTTCCTATTAAAAACTATAAATACCTGACAATTTTGTACTACGATTGACACTGTCTGAAATAACAATACTTTCACTAGTCTTCTGTCTTGTCGTTGTGACTTTGAGGGATGCTCAAGTTATACGCGGTATATCAAGAAAACAACCATGTAGATGAAACAGACCGCACAGCATAGGCCATATCGTTTGGTGTATTTTGTGCTTTCGATAAAATTCGTTTTCCTCATCAAAATAGAACTGTCGAAATTAAATACAGAGTTTGTTCTTTGGTATGCTTTAATACGAGTTACTTAAGGACGTTTCGTACGCTACACACAAGGAGATAGTTCGACCTAATCGAAAAAATGTTTATTCGTTTGTTCTGCGTTCAAACGAATATTTCAGTCGTTGCAAGGCTCATGTAGACCACCAACGTAGATGATCTATGTCGAAATGATTGGAGGCCTACTCGAGTTAGACATGAATGGTGTGACAAACTAGCTAATATCGAAGTCACACCTTGTGGTCAGCACCTTACGTGGACTACCCCATTGACGTATCACGGTACCATAGATGCTTTGAAGACTGTACAACACAGAGGACGTTATCACAGAAATATATTAGTTAAGGTAGATACAAGCGAAAGTAAGACCACTGCCGCATGGGCCAGTCCATGGCGTATGATTAACTAATGCGCGTTGCTTGTACATGACCTTGGCAGGGAGCGATGATCTGTTCGACATCCAGTGATCCAACTGCCGGATGATTTGGCTAGGGCTCAGTGACATTTCACTGGCCCTACAATACTCCCCCACCAGATTCAGTGGCCGTTTGAATCGGTACCAAACATGTTGGGAGCAGTCGCGCGCCGGAGAGTGCCAAAAGAATATTATAAATCCTCCAGGTATTGCTTATCTGTAAAAGAAATGGGAAGGAGGCGGCAGAAACTGGTCGGGAAACAGCGAGTCATAATATGTTAGTAGGACGTTGGTTGAACGTAAAGTGATTAACCATAGAAATAATGAAAAGAACAAAGCGTTTAATTGTTCTATCAAGTCGCGCTGAAATATATAGCTTTGACAAGCAATTCAGTTTCTCCGATGACAAACGTTAAGTCTGTCGCAAGAGTAATGATGCTATAGCGATAGTAGGATAAGTGTATTATTAATCGATGTCCTTGTTTATACTGTCATTAGTTTAAATTTGTAAGTCGGACAGTGTCGTTGACAGCTATTAATTAGTGTCAAATTCTAGTTATATCTATATCTAACAGACTAACCGTAAGTACAGAAGTATAACCGTGAAGAGTGGTCGTGATTTCATTGTGCGAATCTATTGACCAACTTGTAGTCACAGTTTGAAAAGTCGATGACTGCTGTTACAGTCAGTAAGGGTTGAAGGCTACAAATCCACAGCAAAGGTGGCACGATGAAGTCTCTAAAAGATGATAAACGGTAAGTGCTGCGTGTTTGTTCGGTTAGTGAACAGAAAAATATCGAAAAGAACATAAGAAAACAAGAGTGTCACTCTGAACTCATGTCAATGATACCCGTGAAAAACGCTGTCAGTGTTGGGATAAAGGCGACAATGTCGTTTTAAGTTTGCAGGAGGTTCGCTCGACTGCATAAACTGATGATTCGCGCGAATGATAATGTCGTCAGACCACCAATTGAACTGGACAGGTTGTAAATCGTCGAGTAGTTGAACAACCGATTGATGTACCGAAATCATCTGTTAAACAACAGCCACGAGGAAACAATACTTCATAAAATAAAGTACGACGTCGAAGTAGAATAACTACAATAGTTCTGATGTATTATAAAGTCAAATTTAAATAACATCGTTCTTACGTATACTAACAATTACACTGAACGGTCGTTTAGGTATTATTAGCGTAACAGTTGGATGTGTGAATAAAAACATATACGAAAACTATGGTTGGGTTCGTGGAGAATTTTCGAGGACGTTTAGATATTTTCCAAACCCGTATTGTATACAAATATACCGAAAATGGAATTGGAATGACTGTCGTGTAATAAGAAAATCGAGCCATGACTTACCGTGTGAAATAATGGCAAATACAAGGGGTATAGTAAACATTAATTAAAATGGTAACCACCAATGTCACTAAGGTTTTGAGGATCCAGGTAACGTGGCCATTTCATAAAAGGCTGATACAAAGAACTTATTACCTAGCGTTAAGTGACATATTAAGTACGACAACGTGTGTACTTGGGACATGGACTAAGCGTGCTCGTGTACATGCAATATGTTTAACCACAGTATGTCGACTAACGAGTCATAAATGTACATGATTTCGACTAAAACTTGACGGCAGTGACAGAATATATGACTACTTTACGTGAAAGCAACTACGAAATGTTATCACGCATCATAAATTTAGTACGAAATAATCTAATGAAATTATGAAACTCGCCTGGGTTACTCTTGCCTCTAAGTAATGAAGATATGAAGTAGGCAGTAGTTTGAATCTGGATTATGTACGAGGTACAGTTGATTAAATTTTTCGATTAACACAGCGTTGTAGACTGAATTTATATAAGTTCAGAATTAATGTAAGTCGAATACATAGCATTACCTAAGAACAGTCTAAACGAGATCTAAGATCGCAGGAAATTTATAGTTCAAACTCACCGTAAATTTCTAGCATTCGTATCCTCTGTTTGGCCATGGAACTCAGCAATTGGAAATTAGGCAGGCAGTGGTAAAAAAAGGCAAAACATTCTAGTGGATAGTGGTTAAGCAGAAAGATGAATTTATAGTCGATAGTTAATCTTGTCTTATTTATACCAGTGAATAAGTTACAAACAGATGTGCGTTCGTGTTGCCTTGTGGCTATAATCACGAGTGGTTGATATTTTAACAGACATATTACACAGGAGCATTTACATGCTGCTAATGCTTGTTAAAGAACCACGATAGCCGATTATAATCGTAGTTGATTGGTTAGTTCTGTCGATTGAACTAAGTATTTAAGTTTAAGTACTAATCAACATTGACATGAAGCAACGAAAGTTCACAGTGATAGATTAACATAGGCGATGATACAAATGAAAAAGAATAAGTATAGAATACAATAATAAAGATTATAGTGATAGGTTGCGTTACTCGAAGTCTTGCTCACCAGTGTAGGTCACCAACGTAGATGATCTATGTCGAAATGATTGGAGGCCTACTCGAGTTAGACATGAATGGTGTGACAAACTAGCTAATATCGAAGTCACACCTTGTGGTCAGCACCTTACGTGGACTACCCCATTGACGTATCACGGTACCATAGATGCTTTGAAGACTGTACAACACAGAGGACGTTATCACAGAAATATATTAGTTAAGGTAGATACAAGCGAAAGTAAGACCACTGCCGCATGGGCCAGTCCATGGCGTATGATTAACTAGTGCGCGTTGCTTGTACATGACCTTGGCAGGGAGCGATGATCTGTTCGACATCCAGTGATCCAACTGCCGGATGATTTGGCTAGGGCTCAGTGATATTTCACTGGCCCTACACTCATATCTCTCTGTCTGTGCCTACCCTGACACTTGCTATCTCTAACAATCACAATCAACTTCCTTGTTTTTCGAGTGAATCATTTGTAGTAGGTCCCAGTAAATAAACTCGTGATAAAGTAATGCATGCAGCCTATAATACTATACCGAAAACTATTAAATCAACAAACGAATATCTGCCTATGAATAAAACAAAAATACAACAAATATGACTTACAATAAAATTGTATATTAACTAACGAAATGATAACAATCGATATGAAATTTATGTGCAGCTAGTACGCATAAATAATTCACGGAAGGAAAACCGAGAACTCCGTTATCAAACCGAATATCCAAATTTATTATAAGTGATATTCTGTCCAGAAACTATATAAAAAGTTCACTTTCACACATTTCGAAGTATTGGATTTGTCTTTAATTTAGATTTAAAGAAGTTCTTGTTTCCTTTCAGTAATTTGAAATTGAGGCTGGTTTGATTTCTGTTCTGTTAAGTGACAGATTTAAATACTACGTTACATTTTGTAACGGAGCTATTTGCGCTGTGGTTTTTTATGGATATAGATCTCTTCAACTGGTTTTGTTGCGCGGTAATTTTTGGCTGTAGAATTAAAAAATACGAAATTAAAGCACTGTTTTGCTTTTCTATTTATGTCGACTATGTAGTCAACCTAGGTACACTAATACACACATGTATGAATTAGTTATGCGATGTGATCCACACAATAAATCGGTACTAATTTAAGTTGATTAAATAAGCTAGTTGCAGCAATTAATTTAGCTTCTATGTCTTAAAATATCACATTTTGATTTCGGTTTAAAAGTACTTGTCATCACTAGCGTTTTAGGTTGTTATGGACATTAAATTGTGTCTTGTTAGACCGGTCACTGATGTGTTGGGTTTTAAGCTAATGACGCAACCTGTACCTCGAGACACGAGATTTATGATTGTCAGATTCGTCAGTGCTTTAGGTTATCGAAAAAATGTGTTCCAAATATGTAAACTTTGTCAGTCATGGTTTTTTCTCACCCTAGCAACTGCATTTCTGCACTATGAGTGTATCCCCAGATTATTGTGTAGTGACGGGTGTCGCACTTGGAAACCTTTTTACGTATTTGTCGTATAGTAAAGTAGACGACTATTTCATCTAGGGTCGTTTTCTTCTAATCACAGACCGCTTTATAATTTAAACAACCGATTTCTAGCCAGAAAAGATGCCCTGTAAAAACTTTCCTTGTTGTACATTTACACTAGCGCACATGTGCATGAAGATCAATACATATACATATGAATGTATTGACAGATCTACAGAAAATTTGTTATTAATTAGATAGGAAACCGGCTGGTTAGCTAAAGATTTAGTGGTACAAAGTTCAATAAATCCGGCCATTTTTCAACTGATTTGTTTAATGTTGGGATTTACCTGGTCATTAACCATAAGCTTTACAGACGACTAGTAACTTGTTTCTAAGTAAATTCGAGGAATTCTTTAGTTTGTGTATTACTTTAATTCTACATTCGCTAAATCCCCACCGCTATACAATTTCAGGCGAAATTTAAAGTTTATGGAAGTTTTTGGGCCGCATCACTGTAGACGAAATGTATTCAGTCGCAGACATTGACTTAATTGAGGATCGTTATTATAGAGATTTACCAAGCTCTAAACATAATCTGTCTTTTGCTGGCTGCGGCTTTCTCGGATTGTATCATATAGGCGTTTGTTGCTGTATTAAACGTTTCGCACCCCATCTATATCAAAACAAACCAGTATCTGGAACTAGTGCTGGTGCATTAGCCGCGGCTTGTTTAGTGTGTGATTTGGATATGGGTAAGTTATCATGTACACAAAATTTAAATTAAGTAGATGTATGCGTCCGGCATATTTGTAAACTTATTGAAAATACGAGACGATTTACACTTGGTCCATTTGATCCACGATATAAAATAAGCGAATATTTAAAAGATGGCTTATCTCAGTTATTGCCACCAGATGCTCATGTTTTATGCTCTGATCGTCTTTCGATATCGTTAACATGCTTCACCACGCGAAAAAACATAATCGTCCGAAAGTATAAAAATAGGGATGAGGTAATCCAAGTAAGCCTAAAAATACTGTAATTATAATTTTAATGTTTTGTAGGCTCTGCTGTGTTCTGCGTATATTCCTATTTTTAGCGGGTTTGTTCCATTAACGTTTAGAGGTCAGGTAAGTCATTCTCTTTTTTACATGATTCCCCATGTTCTTCGTTTTTGAAATGAACAATTGTATTCCCTAATATCCAGAGAATCTAAAGCCTGTCACATGTTTTCTTTTTATGAGTTCAGCGTAAAGGACTTTTAAATAATGATTGCAAAACGGCTTTAGGTGGGTTTAGTGTCCATATACTGAATTCATGTATGCAGAGAAGACGTGTTTATCAAAATACCTTTCTTCTCTCAAATTTCTTAGTCCATATAACTTAAAAGCGCTTATTGTCAGAAACAGCGTAGAAAGAAGTACCCAAGAAAACTATGTGACAACAAAATCTTCGAAACCTACGGCGTTTCGAAGAGTCTGTCAATTGTAGTGTCGTAAATGCTAATGAGTAAAGTTCTAAGGATAACTGTATTGATGAGGCACAGTGAGGTCTCTATTTTCGGAAAACGTAAAACTCCACGACAGTAGATATAAAGTCAGTAAATAATTAGTAACATGTTGTTGATCATTTATAAGATATAGTGTAGGACTTATAAACAACTTTCATTTCAATATGTTAGTACAGCTATTATAACTACGTGTATTATATAAAGTATGGGCCTTGTTTAATTTTGGGAAATAAGACCCTTGAGTGAGTTTACCACCTCGTTTAGGACTGTCATCGATCATGATATGCTGGTAGTCGCCAGAACCTCATTACGGGTACAGTTATTTCACTTGTCTTTTATCATTCCTCTGCACTTGCGAACTCATTAAGTATTCTTTTGCCATTCAGCCAAGTATACTTTGTGGAAGTTCGCTTTTTACTTTCTTATGCCATATAATTTATGTAGGTTCTTGTTTGACTATAGATATCTAGTGGTTATAAAACATGGTTTTCAAGGACAAATGACGTTTTTAGGTTACTAGTATTTTATTATAAGTGGCTTCGGGATATTGCTCGTGCATGTTAAAACCACCGAATGGGCAGTCCTGATGTTGACGTGCAGTACTGGGTGAAAAATAGCTAGTTAGTTGAGGAGTTGGCGAATATCGATTTAGTGAAGTGGTTGGGACACGTACTGCATATGAATAACCATGATATGCCTCGATACACAATATTTGTAGATATGCGAATAAGTTGCGAGAAAGGTATTGGCTGGCGAACAAAGATGTGACATAGAGAGGGAAATTGTGAATACTTTGGTCTTGAGTGCTGTTAGAAGTATGAAAGTGGTTATCGCTTCCCAATTACCCACACCGTGTAAAGGTTTTTCTAGGGGTACCTGAAAATAAAATCGGGTTAGAGTTGATCTTAGTGACCTGGAAACGTGGCCATAGTGCCAAAGGGACAAATACTTGAGGCTGGTCACACATGAATATTTTGTGAGTTTTCGTGTTAGTAGTCTCTTCTTGATAGTCCTGGATACTTCTTTTTTCATACATATTAACAAGCATACTGTTTGGAAAAAAAAGATTCCTAATTTCCTCCAGATATTTATTTCATTACTAGATATCTTTGTTTTTCAGAGTTACGGTCAGTTCGTTCTGTTCAGAACTTATCTCTTCTAAGTTCATCGTTAACAGCACCACATTTTTGTTGGGGTTTTTCAGGAATCTAGAAGATTATTTAGTTGCTGATTTTAAAGAAAACTATTTATCATACTCAATATCCTTCCGAATACTCGTTAGTTTATTATCTCTTCTGTAATAAGAGATTATACTGAAAGTAAACCGGTTTACTGACCTATTTTTATATATTTATAGTTGTAGACATTATTAATATTTTTCTCAGCCATTTTTCGAAACATAATGTTTACTAAACTGGAAATCCAAATTTCTTTCTAAGTTAGGACTACTGTTCAATGATGAAACCACTTTCAGTTTGAATAGAGTAACCTCAATTACAGTTTAAAAGTGATTAATGTGAGTAGTAAGGGTTCATAAAACAATAAATTTGAAATACTATTTAAGGCATACCCTAATGATAATGATTACATTGCTGTATCCATTTTTCAGCTTGTGGTCGATGGCGGTTTATCAAACAATTTACTTAGCATAAACCAACAAACTATTAAAGTTAGTCCATTCGCTGGTGATTCGGATATATGTCCATTGGAATCAAAATGGGGCCCACAGTATCATAGAGCTCAGCCACAAAAGTACGAAGATGTGTTAGGCTCAATCTCATTACTGAATCTTTCAATGAGCTTCAACTTAACAAATATTAAACGTTTAGTGGGAATGGTGTGGCCAATGTCTCCTGATCAGTTGGTTAACTTAGCCAACCAAGGTTATGATGATGCATTACGGTTTTTAATTACACGTGGTAAGCTTGTTGTGTTTTACTGGTTCTTGTTTATATAATGACTTCAAAAAAGCGGTTGATTTTTAGATACCAATAATAAGGGTTTTCACTACAAGGAAGTTTCGGACACAAATACTGCAAAATTATGTAATACTATGTGGATATAAAAGAATCAACGAATAAGGCTTAATAGTAAGACGGTAGCTTGGGTGTTAAAACATACAGGTTTCGAGGTTCTGTCTCCTTTATTTGGGATAACTGTATGGTATTATTACCTATTACACAAGTGGTCACAGAAAAATACAATGATCTGAAAATCCTCTCATGAGATCTTTCATCGTTTCTCTAGTTCTCTTTCTAAAGACGTCATACATCTGGGTCACGACAAGATTGACCAGTCACTGATTAATAACCCCCAAATGCCCTGGTATGGCCGAGAGTGAGGTGGACCCGCCCTCCCTCTCGAAATGCTCTCACATGACCACACGTATGCAGCCTCTGCCAGGGAAGTTCTACTCACTGCCTTCTCGAGGTGGGGGTGTTGTTTACGAAAATGAGAGGACGAAAAGCGAATGTCCGGCGCTTTAACTGGATTTCAAACCAATGGTGCACATGGGCTCCAGTATCCTGAGGGAACAAATGGCGTATGAACCAGTCGTTGGTCACCGGCTACCATGGGACCGCATCTCCTCACGATGCTCCACTGCCTTGTGGGTTAGACCATTAGGTCAAAGGCTCGGGGTGTAGCCCCCTGAGATAACCACCTGCTTCGGTTCGGGCACCCGAGCAGTATCGCAGCCCACACACAATTAATGAACTGAACTGTCTATGATCATGGAAACTAATTCCCTTGCTTCGACGAACATTCAAATGATTCAACTATTATTATTATTCTTATTCTTCTTCTTATTATTATTATTATTTACTACGTCATTATTCACCCTCTTTTATTCCTACTGTGTTTATACTTATTTTTCGACTTATACAGCACCTCGCCTATAGTGGAAATTCAGCTCTATCTAAACGTTCTCGAATCACTGTTCGGTTGAAAATTGTATATTACCACTGAATACGAGTACTGAAGCAGTTTTTCTGAAACCACGTGCACCATTCAAACTGGCTGCCTTCAACGTTCGCACACTAATGCAGATCGGACAACAGATAGGGCTGGCTATGTCTTTAGAAAGTCTTAATATCGATGTTTGTTGTCTATCCGAGACCCATATTCAAGACTCTGGTGAAGTACTACAAATTCGCTCTCCATCTGTCGCTTCAAAAAGCTTGTTTCACGTGCTTTTATCCGGGGACCCTGTGGCATCTTTGTCTGGTTTTGCTGGCATTGGTGTCGCACTAAGCGCTAGAGCTGAGGCAGCACTAATCCATTGGATCCCCATTAACAGTCGGTTATGTGCTGTTAGATTAGAGAGTTCCATCAAAGTGAGAAGAAATCGGCGTGAGAAACGATGTCTTTTCGTCATCTTCGCCTATGCCCCGACAGATTGCAGCCCGGATGCAATCAAGGATGAGTTTTACCACCAGTTATCTGTTCTTCTCCAGAAAGTGCGTTCGACAGATATTGTAGTACTAGTCGGAGACTTGAATGCTCAGGTCGGTCGTCTAGGCACAGAAGAGAGTCGTTTAGGTGGCCGATGGGGACTTGTTAGTCGCAGGACAGATAACGGGGACCATCTACTGCAACAGTGCACAGACCACAACCTGTTTCTGGCTAGCACTAACTTTCGGCACAGTCATCGCCGATGTGCCACCTGGTGTCCTCTCTCTGCATCTCAAGCCTGGACTCAGATTGACCACATCGCGGTCAGCTACCACTGGTGTGGTTGTGTGCAAGACTGCCGCTCCTTTTAGAGTACCTATCTGGACTCTGACCATGCCTTGGTCTGCGCGAACTTGTCCTGCGACTAACAAGTCCCCATCGGCCACCTAAACGACTCTCTTCTGTGCCTAGACGACCGACCTGAGCATTCAAGTCTCCGACTAGTACTACAATATCTGTCGAACGCACTTTCTGGAGAAGAACAGATAACTGGTGGTAAAACTCATCCTTGATTGCATCCGGGCTGCAATCTGTCGGGGCATAGGCGAAGATGACGAAAAGACATCGTTTCTCACGCCGATTTCTTCTCACTTTGATGGAACTCTCTAATCTAACAGCACATAACCGACTGTTAATGGGGATCCAATGGATTAGTGCTGCCTCAGCTCTAGCGCTTAGTGCGACACCAATGCCAGCAAAACCAGACAAAGATGCCACAGGGTCCCCGGATAAAAGCACGTGAAACAAGCTTTTTGAAGCGACAGATGGAGAGCGAATTTGTAGTACTTCACCAGAGTCTTGAATATGGGTCTCGGATAGACAACAAACATCGATATTAAGACTTTCTAAAGACATAGCCAGCCCTATCTGTTGTCCGATCTGCATTAGTGTGCGAACGTTGAAGGCAGCCAGTTTGAATGGTGCACGTGGTTTCAGAAAAACTGCTTCAGTACTCGTATTCAGTGGTAATATACAATTTTCAACCGAACAGTGATTCGAGAACGTTTAGATAGAGCTGAATTTCCACTATAGGCGAGGTGCTGTATAAGTCGAAAAATAAGTATAAACACAGTAGGAATAAAAGAGGGTGAATAATGACGTAGTAAATAATAATAATAATAAGAAGAAGAATAATAATAATAATAATAGTTGAATCATTTGAATGTTCGTCGAAGCAAGGGAATTAGTTTCCATGATCATAGACAGTTCAGTTCATTAATTGTGTGTGGGCTGCGATACTGCTCGGGTGCCCGAACCGAAGCAGGTGGTTATCTCAGGGGGCTACACCCCGAGCCTTTGACCTAATGGTCTAACCCACAAGGCAGTGGAGCATCGTGAGGAGATGCGGTCCCATGGTAGCCGGTGACCAACGACTGGTTCATACGCCATTTGTTCCCTCAGGATACTGGAGCCCATGTGCACCATTGGTTTGAAATCCAGTTAAAGCGCCGGACATTCGCTTTTCGTCCTCTCATTTTCGTAAACAACACCCCCACCTCGAGAAGGCAGTGAGTAGAACTTCCCTGGCAGAGGCTGCATACGTGTGGTCATGTGAGAGCATTTCGAGAGGGAGGGCGATCCCACGCCGCTGTCGTCCAGACCACGGAATAACTATCTGTTCATTTATTTAGTCAGTTTTCAAATTCAACCATATTTACGGTGATTGTCTATCAAATATCACTGCTTTGAAAGTATCCGAACTGCTAGAGGTATTACTATTGAGTGTCGAACGTTTGTGCACCTAGCTAATAATTTCGAACTTCAACTTCATTGCCAATAACCGAGTATGCTTCCTGTTTTCTTATACACTGACCATTAACTGAAAGCAAAAGTTCGAGTTGAGAGAAACTCAAAATTAACCCTTTGAAGACATTCATTTACATACAAACCTAATCATAATGCTTATTATCGAAAGACTGTCATTTTGAACGAAATTTACACAAAGCTAATACATATGAACATTTTAATTAGTGGAAATCACATTCGAATCAGTACATAATTTCACACTTAATTTCATCCTAATAAAATTGTATTTGAGGATAGTATCTATCAAACTATTTCATACTATGTTTCCACAATTAATAACACTAGTTTCGTTTAGGAGAATTGAAGAACTTATGTCGAACTGTACTTGTAGTATTTGATCACCTGATTACTTGAAATATTACCACCGTTTTTAACTAATGTTACTAACACTTTTGAACAAATAATACGTGATAGACGTTATCAGGTACTCTTTTGACAGGTGACTATCAGTGTATATATGTTGACAGTCATGCCTCCTTCTAACTATTTATGCAGGAAAGATAAATAATCATTAGACCAATTGAGTAACTCCGACTATAAATTTAATTTTTTGATTCTTAATGCGATTGACAACTATTTCGTAGCAGTAATAACCAACAGTGTTGTTTATTGTTCACACAAACTACCATGACTAATATTCAAGGCCCTACGTTATTAAGGTATAGGTTTCAACCTTTGTCAGTGTTGTATTCGTTGACATTTCCCAGTGTTCAATATCACTCTTTAGTTTCTTGATATTTGAATTTTGTTTACGTCTTTTCGTTCTTTAATTGTATGTACTTCTACAATTTTATTTCTCAATTCTAATCACTTATGTTACTGCGCATATTAGATTAACTAAATGTTTCATTTTTTTATCATATCGCAGATGCCATTCATAACTTATGTATAGCCTATTACCTTTTCGACAAAAAAGAAAACATCCTGAATGCATATTATTATCTTGATTTAACAGTTAATAAAGTTTCATAGTCTTACAGAAGCCCAGTCAATTTTTTTATCCGAACTAATTGGAATTACTAAAGCAAATGAGCTCAACTACATCTATTTTAAATTGTAACATTTTTTATCAGGTTTTATTGCTTGTCGTATACATCAAACTCCGAGAGAATTTTCAAATATTTCTCGAGTGAAATCAAGAAACTCTCCACGGATTCGTCGGTTACATAGTTGTGATTCACTTGTATCCAGTAAAATACATAGTGATTCAGATCGTAATCGAGATCGCTCCTCTGAAACAAGTTCAGTTGTTCAAAAGATCGAATCCTCTAAATGTATCGGTTCTGCACCAAAAAAATTAATTCATGGTTCTGGAATCGGTTTAAACGTAGCTCACTGCTGTGCATGTCGAAGTGAATTGTATAAGGCGATTAACTCTTCGTTTCCCTCTTCATTGAATTCACTGATCAGAGATGGGACAAAAATTTCACAATCATATTTAAATTTTGTTCAAAGTCATCTTTGGGTGTATGGATCATCTTTGTGCTCATTTAGTTTTAAACTGTTTGGGTTTCCTCTCAGGTTACAAATCAAATTTCTAATATATGTTATTTCCAGGTAATTAGTCTTTATAATAAATAACGGTTTTTCTGTATGTAAAACTTAATTCTAAGTATACTAAATCTTGGTATTTCATTCTTTTTTTCATTACAATAAATACTTTAAATTTGAAAATATAGTTTTCTAAGTTATATTCTCACGTTCAACAAATTTTTTATTATGATTGAAAATCAAAACTTGATGTAACAGGACTTTATAAAATCCACTACCCAGAGAAAAGTAGCAAATTTGAAGGAAAATCATCAGAAGGGATGGCGCAACTTCGTGGATTGGTTGAAGTTAGACATTAACACCGTTGGATGCCGGTTCGGTGGTCTAATAGTTAAGTGCTCGCGCGCGAAACCAGTAGTTCCTGGGTTCGAATCCCACGGGGTGCGGGACCGTGGATGCGCACTGCTGAGGAGTGCCACACTAGGACGAAACGGCCGTCCAGTGCTTCCAGGTTTCCCATGGTGGTCTAGCTTCAACTGACTCATGATTTCAATCTGTTGAAGGAAAATCATTTGAAAAACTGACAAACAAAACAAAAGAATAACTAAATATGCAACTAAAATAAGTGTTACCTAGTTTTAAGATGTGCTACTTTTTTTACGAAAAATGAAACTGCAGTGAAATTGCCAAACGTTTCTTTTCTGTCTGATATATATATTCTTGCCTCAAACTAGGCTGTCACATTATCTTCAAGCTGTTGTCCAAAATTTTAGTGCCAATTCAATACATCTGTGGTTCATTCATAAATTCATTACATCTCAGCTTTATTGATGGCTAATAATTTATGGTGTGGATGTTCTAGCTTCATGTATTCAAGACTATTTTCAATCTGATTATATGGACATTATAAATATACGGTTTTTGAAAATGATTACACATAGTTTTCTTAACCAAAGAAATGGAATAAAATAAGTAAGAAATTCATGAGTCAGGAAGGAGAAAATAAATGAAGGACAATGAAAGTATCAAAATTTTTATCACCTGAACGCGGCTAAAAACAAGGGGCTAGCTAGTATAGCACAAATCTGTTTTGATTCATGTTGCCATATGTCACTAATTGATAATGATTTCAACAGTGGTAGGGAATTGAAAGAAACACGATGCAGATTATATATAATAATATGATGTTTAAAATTTTAAGAGAAAACAATACTTTATAAATTTGCCTTCACTGCAATCAATTTTCCCTCAATAAAATGCTTAAATGTTGGTGATAATAATTTCATGGACACCGAAAAATTGTAACAGTAATTCGATAGCTAATATCACGAAAATTGATGGTTAAGTGTAATACCGTATTTAGGGCGAAAAAATTCTACTTTTAATGGCGTGATGTAATTGCCAGTTTTGAATATGATTTAATTTACAGTCTTTCGTAGACTATGTCAATTTGAACTGTTTTCTTGTGCGAGTTGGTTTTCATTGATGATACATTTTTTTATTTCGGTGTTCTTTTTAGATGTGTAGGGGCTTTGGAACAATCCCATATTGGTACTTATCACTTACTCAGTTTATTGGATCTTTTAAAAGAGTCTCAGTGGTATCTTGAAACAATGAACGAAACAGAACAAACTTCAACTAGTACACTAAATAAATCAATTGGTAAAACGATACCAATGTCCTTAGATTCAGATGCCAGGAAGAAATGTCATCGATTTTCTACAAACAGTCACCCAGTTATTACAATGATAAATTCAATTTTTTGGAAGGGAGCTGATAGTTTAAGCGGTTTGATTTTACGATTAAATTCGTTTGAGTTACCAACAGCCAGCGACTGTGGATTAGAATTACTATCTTACTCATTACAAAAGGTAGGTTAACTTAATTTTTTGACTGAACATTATTAAATCATATTATAGACTTGATGTTTCGCGATTACGAAAAAGAGGTCAAGGATGTCACCGAATAAAATATCTTTAGCTTATGATGATATTTTAATAGTACTTATATTCAAAGTTAGTCATTCTGTCAGCTACAACGTAGGACCAGGAACATGTATCCATCGGTCCAAGTTGCAACACCTCATTAGCACAATAAGATGAACATCAAATTCATAGAAGTAGTCACTTCAATGGAAGTAATGTGTAAAAGAAAGATTGTGTATAATGATATAGTACAAGAAGAAAGAATTAGAAAGAAAGGTGTAAAGCAATTTTAATCTCACGGTTTAAGGTGAGAAAAAGAGTGTATACACGTACGCCATTGTAATCGATTCTGAGCCATGTCACCCAGATTCTCCAACCGAGTAATTAGCATCTACCAACATGGCTCAGACAAAACGTTAGTGACTTATAGACTTATGCCACGATTTGGTTTGGCCGCCCCTAACTTTCTTCCAATCATCCCTAACACTGGTCACAGCATCGCCCTTCCTGGTAATCGGTGTTCAGACATACTTCAGTGCATGCTTAACGGCGTCCGACAATGGTGGTCTTTCTTGACTTAAAAGCAGCATTTGACTCGGTAGACCGCGAGATTCTGTGGCAGTGTCTGTCATTGAAAGGCGTACCTCAGAAGTACATAAACCTTGTGAAGGCTATCTACTCGAATACTACTAGTCGAGTCAGAGCTTATGGCGAACTGTCATCTGCTTTTGCAACATCAAGTGGTGTCCGTCAAGGCTATCCACTTTCTCCATTTTTGTTTAACTTCATCATAGATCTATTGATGGAAATAACATTCTCGTCGACTGAATTCTCGGGTATTGATCTCCTACCAGGAGGTCCACTTATCGACTTAGAATACACAGATGATATAGTCCTGTTTGGTGAAGACGCTGATAAAATGCAGAGTCGTTTGTTAGCACTGAGCAACAATGCCAGAATGTTTGGAATGCGTTTCTCTCCCTCTAAATGCAAGTCGTTGCTTCAGGACTGGTGTGTGTCAACACCTGAACTAAGGATAGGGAGTGAAGTAGTCGAAGACGTCGACATCTTCACTTATCTTGGAAGTCTGATCAGCCCTAATGGGTTGGTGTCTGACGAAATTTCAGCATGGATTCGAAAAGCTCGTTTGGCTTTTGCCAACTTACCTCACCTATAGCGAAGGCGAGATATCCGTCTATCAATAAAAGGACGAGTATACTGCGCGGCAGTCCGTTCTGTTTTACTTTACGGCAGCGAAACATGGCCATTAAGAGTAGAAGACACTCGTAAGCTACTAGTATTTGACCACAGATGCCTCAGAAATTTTGCTGGCGTCTGCTGGGATCACCGGGTAAGTAGTAGTGAGGTTAGACGCAAAGTATTAGGGAATGATGGTAATTCAGTTGATTGGGTTGTAAATCTTCATCGATTGAGATGGTTGGAAGAAAGTTAGGGGCGGCCAAACCAAAACGTGGCATCAGTGCTCGAAGACACTAACTTGTAGTCTGGGCCATGTTGGTAGATGTAGACTACGTGGTTGGGGTCCGCGTGACTATCGTAATCAATGGTTGGAGACTCTTGGTGACATGGCTCAGAATCGATCAAAATGGTGTCGGTGTATACACTCTCTGTCTTCCCTTAAACTAAGATTGAAATCACTTCATATCTTTCTTTCTACGAACTAATTCTTTCTTCCTGTACTATATCCTTATGCAATTTTTCATTTATATATTACCACCTCTGAATTAACTACTTTTATGAATCCGGTGTCCATCTTGTTGTCTTAATGAGGTATGGCAACTTGGACCGATGCATATATGTGCCTGGTCCTACGTTGTAGCTGACTGACTGACTGACTATCTTTCTTTTACACATTACTTCCATTGAAGTGACTACTTCTATGAATTTGATGTTCATCTTATTGTGCTAATGAGGTGTTGCAACTTGGACCGATGGATACATGTTCCTGGTCCTACGTTGTAGCTGACAGAATGACTAACTTTGAATATAAGTACTATTAAAATATCATCATAAGCTATAGATATTTTATTCAGTATAGAAAACTCAGTCCTCTAATCAAGACCATATAAGATGGTATAAGTATTTTCTTCAGCTAGTTAAGTTATTTATATCATACATTTATTTGATGAAGGAATCAGTTCTCATTCGCCGAATTAAGGTAATTTTTTCATCTTATTATTTCACTCAATCCATTTCAACAGGTTTTTTGATTGTTTACAACTTGACTGGTCTAAACACTGTACAGAATGTTAATTATGTCTTTTTAAGTGTTTGTACATGACCTAAGTTAATACATCTGATTCCTAACTAATAATTCTCAAGTTCGACCCGAGCTCTAGGTGTTTGAATTTTGGTAACAGGATAGTATCACTAGTTCTTACATAAATCTGCCACAAATCTCATTATGATAAATGCATCACATGCGATCATATCGTTTTACTATCAGGCAACGATATTCCAATACACTCCGAAATATAATAGTTCTTTTTAATTCATGATAATTTTACCTCTGTTTCGCACATTGTTTTGTTCTGGTCCTAACCAAATAAAAAACCTTTAGATGTTACCTAGTATTATTTCAGTCTACTTCGTTGTATCGTATACTAAGTTGGTATATTAAAATCTAAATATATATTGTAAATGACAACAAATCACTAAATAGGATCGTTTATTTCGAGAAACTTGTTTTGCAGTTTCATGTAAACTTCCGTTTATCAGTTATAGATTTTTTCATTCAATATATTTTCATCTAGTCTTATAGCCTTGTATTTTGCACTATTAAACGTTGTTTAGTCTGTTTGTTGTTTTTTCTATTGGCATTCATAAAGTTATAGCATGTGATTATTGTATTATTCGGTTAATTTTAGTAAATAAATATGACGTGTATTATTGATTATGTTCAGTTTGGGGAATAATACATTTTTGTAAGCGAAGTTGCTAATATGTTATTCCAACATTAAGTATTAACGACCTGAAGTGTATTGTAAACATTTCATCGTCAATAAGCAAAGATGGATGGTGGCTAGCGGTGGAATCCAGAACGCGCGTCTCATACTATTTGGGACTCATCGGCTGGATGTGCCCACACCCCTCATTGTTTAGTTAATATTATCAGTTGTTTTCCATGATATGGCTCCTTATTTTTTGTGATTGTATCTATGAGGTTATATTGGTCTTGAGTTTTCTATCGGTGGGTTACGGGTTCGAATCTCCTACTTGCAAACTATTCAAGTATGGTGTTAATACACTGACAAGATTATCACTACCTTCGAGTCCGCTGACTTTTGGATACAGGTCTTTGACAAATAATGCGTTTGAATCAGCGTTTACTTTTATATGTTAGATTATATATAACTGTCATATGAACCGATAACAGCACGTTATTGTATGTAAAGGATTTTTATTATTACCCTCTATTCTAGACTCTGTAAATGATTTACTGACGGTGGCTTTGTAAAACAGAATTTTCAATTCAGTCGTTTCCGCCTTTTTAATTCATTTGTGAGAGTATTATTTGACCTCACGATCCCCTTCGAAATTGATTTTTATATTGATATTTATTTCCACAATGTATAGATTAACAATTAATCTTGGTACATCATGGTACTTTTTAATTTCAAGGTATGAGACTACTACTGGTTCACTCAATAATGATTTATTGACATAATTTATAATAAGTCATTTTAAGATGTTTTGCTAAGTTGATTTGTACATGTCTAAGCTTTTTTACTACTTTGTACGATTTCAATAGTGTCATTCTTTAATTAAATTGATCATTAGTTATCTCTCGCCCTTGTAATACAAGGAAATCACTTGGTTTAGCATTTTATTTTTGTACCCAGAGTATCGCTAATCCGTGTTTGCTACCTATGGATGGTCTTGAGTCAGATATCAGCCAGGCAGATCGTGGATGTAAAACAGAAAATGACGACAGTGGAATTTGTTATACACCAAGTAATTCAGTTTTAGCAAACAAGTTTTTATCAGCCGATAATGTAGATATTGACTCCAGCACACCTTATTCAGAATTTTAAATGTGAGGAAGTGTTAAAGATCATTTCTTTTCAACTAGTCATAATTTGTTTTTGTTTCGAATCCTAACTAACCCGTTATCTATATATTTTCAAGTGATTTTGATCTATATATTTTTCTATTTGTTTCTTCATTTTTTTGGCTATAAATGATTTAAACTGAGCATAAATTTTTGGTTTCGTTAGTTAGTAACAAAATTATGTTCTTTTCAAACATCTAGCACTTTGAATTATTCCACAAAATACAATCCAACTGTTTCTGCAGTAAAGTTTTGTTATATGACGTATGTTGGACATTTTATAAAACCTATTGCGCATTATTTAGTACATAATAAATATATAGGGAATTTTGTAGGCATTTTGTTCGACGTTTCTCATAGATTATTTTAAATACCGTTATAATCTTAAGTTTCTAATCTGTTTAGATTGATATGTTTGCTAAAAATCCTAATCTGTTAAATACTATAGTTTTGCACCACAATATACAGTTGCAACTTTTCTTGTGTTCCCAGTACTTAAGGTATTAATAACCTCCCTATTGTTTTGCTACAATTCTAATCTCATCTCTGCAAAAATCAACCACGAGTAAGTAATCATTGCTTTGTATTAGCGTTAATTGCGGCAGGTTTTGTCCTAAGGTTTAGTAACTCGGTTGTTCAGAGTTGGTATTCATTTTTACAGTCACCATCAACACAACCAGTAGTAAATAAGAACATGCAGTAAATATGGTCAGGCCTAAGTATAAATGTAAACGTAATGTGTTGGCGGCGGATTATACTGATTCACCTACCTAATTATGTAACTCCTGACATCCAGGATAGTAAAAGACTTTGATTTTATTCTGTGTAACGGACTAAATTTCGCTTTCAGTTGAGGTCCTGCATCTAAGTGATCACATACTATCTTTTAGTTTCTATTTAGGTCTTTATAGTTCGCAATCCATTTGCTCATTGAAATCATCTTTACTCAAAACTTTGGTGGGACTGTTTGTTCTCCGTGATTTATCTGGATAGTGGGTGTGTGCAGTTGATTGAGCTGTAGTTCAATCTTCATGACGAAGAATTATGTTACTATTTAGTCCCATGATATCTCATTGTTCAATCTCCTTGTTATGATCTCATTCAGACCCAGCTACTCTTATTTCTTAGTATTCTTTCGAATGCTAGTTCACTCTATAAGTCCACAAATCAATACACAGTTGATCAGGAACGTAATTATCTTTCAAATAACAAGGTAGAATGGGAGGAAAAAGCATAATAGGGGAAACCACTGTTTATGTGTAATTTTACATAAGGAGATTCTAGAATTCTCTTCAAGTATCGACCAATGCTGATGGGCCAAGAAACGGCCACTCAACGTGTTCCAACACAATTCTGCACGGGAGAAGCTTTGATTCAATCTATATTCCGCTGACAATCCTTCTACGCATTGGCACTGAACATCACTTGCGAGGGAACATCTGTAGTGTTTAGGGCATGTTCATGAAACTGTACCCACCTTTTTCGCAGTATGTAAAATTCACTGAAAATAAGATGGTTGTAGTTTCTTCCCATTCCTTCGAAGAGGGTTCCTCATCTACTTTGTGACCAAGGACTATTCGTATCTCGTTATATTTGGTTAACGATCCCTATAGCTAGGCAGGTAGTACCTTGGTATACGAAAACAATCAGAAACATTTTTAGTGTTGTGTGAAGTCCCCCAGTAAACATGGGGTCTCCTCTCGAAGAAATGGATAGCTATTTGATTCGCTTCGAATGGCATTGGATCCCAAAGCTTGAGTACTCATGCAAAATATGAAGTTGTCAACCAAGCTTGCTTCGTCACACTTCCAAATTTTGACTACCTCTGTGGTTTGTGTTAAGACTGGATACAAACAAGTACTTACTTACGCCTGTTACTCCCAATTAAGCATAGGTCGCCAATCAGCATTTCCCAACCAACGCTGTCCTGGGCCTTCTTTTCTAGTTCCGTCCAATTCTTGTTCATTTTTCTCATATCTACATTTCCCGGCGTAATGTGTTCTTTGGTCTTCCTCTTCTCCTTTGGCCCTGAGCATTCCAAGTGGGGGCATACGTTGTGACGCAGTGGAGTGCTTTCCTCAATATCCATCCTATCCACTTCCAGCGCTTCCAGATTTCTTCCTCCGCTGGGATCTGGTTTGTTGTCTCCCACAGTACGTTGTTGCTAATAGTGTCCGGCCAACGGATCCGAAGTATTTTGCGTAGATAACTGTTAATAAACACCTGTATTTTCTGGATGATGGATTTCGTAGTTCTCCAGGTTTCTGCCCCATACAGTAGAACTGTCTTGACATTTGTATTGAAAATCCTGACCTTGGTGTTGGTTGACAGTTGCTTTGAGTCCCAGATGTTCTTCAGTTGTAAATATGCTGTTCTTGCTTTACCGATCCGCGCTTTCACATCTGCATCATATCCACTGTGTTCATCAATGATGCTGCCCAGATATGTAAAGGTTTTTACATCTTCCAAATCTTCTCCGTCAATTGTGATTGGATTGGTACACGTTGTATTGCATCGGAGAATCCTGCTTTTCCCTTTGTGTATATTGAGACCTACTGCTGCTGAGGCTGTTGACACACTGTTCGTCTTCTCCTGCATTTGTTGTTGTGTTTGGGATAGGAGGGCCAGATCATCTGCGAAGTCTTGATCATCCAGCTGCATCCTACCTGTCCACTGTATCCCGTGTTTCCCGTCAGATGTTGATATCTCCATAATCCAGTCGATCACCAGGAGAAAGAGTGAGAGTAAGCAACCTTGCCTGACAGCGGTCTTCACTTCGAACGACTTTGTCAACTGTCCTCCATGCACGATTTTGCAGTGTAATCCATCATATGAGTTCTGTATGATATTGACTATCTTCTGAAGCACGCCGTAGTGTCGAAGAAGCTTCTATAGTGTTGTTCTGTCCACGCTATCAAATGCTTTCTCGTAGTCAGTGAAGTTGATGTAGAGTGATGAGTTCCATTCAATTGATTGTTCCACAATGATCCTTAGAGTTGCCTTTGAAAATTTCATGAATAGTGATAGTTTTAAAAGCCACAATATCACTTCTGTGTCATCTACTTAAGGGGTAGAGATATGGTAGTTTGGGCTAGGTACCATATATTGGTTTCACAATTCGTTTTTGAGTATTTTCGAAAGTCTTTAAATCCTTCTGAAGTAAGTTAGAGAACGCTGATTTAATTTTTTCAGTCAAGTAAAGTTTTCGGGATTTAGGTAGAATATCCTACTGTCGAAATCCTGACAGGTCTTCTTAGAGTTATTTTCAGTATGTTACTCGCTATCTCCCCCATCCACAATAATCTTAAGCTTGTTTATGTTTGGTTTCGGTTTTATGGTGTGGTGCGGTTCATTATGTCTGTAAATAAACCAGGTCTCTGGGAGCTCATTGTTGATCTTAGTTTGGAGGTAGGGTATTTTGAGAAGCTTTCTATTAATTGGTCAAAAGGAACTTAGCCGTAGGCTCAAGGTAAAAATCTACCAGCCGGGTGTGCAGTTGAGCGCGAGACAGATCGAATTATGATTATGGTTGATGTTTTGAGATGTTATACTGGCCAGTGGTCATAAAATATAATCCTACACGTAGCAAGGGTTTGTGACTCAGTAGTCATTGAGAGTTTTTAGTTGGAGTTTCAAAGCTTCACATCAATGAAATAAAATATTTTGGCTGGTTTAAGTAAGGCCAGGATATTGTTCGTCAGAAAATTAGATCAATTCATTTTAATCCTTTGTTTCCTCTTTAGATGCATACAAGTTGTTATATTTATTTAGTTTCAGCTGCCAGCATAAGTTGATATTGCAAACGAAAATGAATGTATGATTGGTACTTCAATTAAAGTTGATGAATGAGAGTAGAATTTTGGTCTACTATGATAGTAGTACTGTTCTAATAATAGACCTAATCCTAAAATTGTACATTTGTCATGCCGTAACTGCCTAATCTATAATATCCTACGTGCAAGTCACATCATTTTCTACGCCAACTCATCACATCGTACCAATCACCAATATATGATAGAGAATAAACTTGGGCTAGAGACAGAATAATATATTTAATATAAATAAAAGATTATGTTACAACACTTAAGAGTGACCACGCCTGCAAGGTTGAGCCATGCCGTCCGATCGATTCGTACTCCATTCATTCCTCCCGCCCCCTCCACCGTTGGCTTTTCTCCGCGTCAAATAATGAATATCAGTCTTCCCGTTTGTCTCGTGTTCAGCTTTGGGGATAGTGTGGTCATGGCCCAATGCCACTACATGAGTACAGTTCAAGAATAACAAACGACCTAATTTTGGTAAAGAAGTGTCAGTCTTTCAAAGAGTTGAGAAGAAATTTTATACTGATTATAGTGGCAAGTCGATTGTCTTTTATATTGTTAAAAAGAGTGAGAGCTCAGAAATCGTATTGAAAATGATATTAACTTGATAATAAAGTTACTAAACCGGCTCATGACCCAGAAATCTCTAAAGTCACCTTGCTAAAGGTGGCGAAAGGGACTTGAAAGATAATTGAAACGGGTTGCTAAAAGTAGTATTTAAGTATCTCAGTGAAAGGGACTTGATACTACAGAATGGACAGAAATTAAAAAGGTCATAAGTTTCTGTCCTTAAATACTTGCTGATTAAGACACCTTATAGGAAGACGAGAAGCTGAAAAAGCAAAACTATCAGTGCTAGGTGCACAGATAGACTCGATCAAGTCAGAAATTATCGCAGTCTTAGGGACGCGGCTGACGCAGTCCGTAGACAGTTAAGAATGTGATTCTTAAAGTTTCACTCTAGTGGAAGTGTAAAAGCGGAGTAGTTCTATTTATCCAAAGTAATATCTCATTTACCGTTATTGATAACATATCCTGTTAAAGTGAGGCGTGCAAATTAGTCAGTTGCCGCTTGAGATGCAAAGGACAAGAGTTACTCATTGGTTTCTTCTGTAGCCTTCTAATCTGCGAGCTGAATGAGGTTATGCTACACAGTTTCAACACTTGATCATCAAGTAGTCTCTGCTTATGAGGCTTTAGTATACCTACGGCAGACAAAATATCTAGGGACTGGATTGTCAGAATATCCTTTCGAACAGAGACTACTTGATGCGGTTATCACATGTGCTCTAATTCAGCGTGTGAACAAAGCAACTAGGTGCGTCGCGGACTCCGAATCATCCTTACTTGATCTCATATCGACCCATTATGAAGATAACTTCACTTCTATTATTTCCCACCCTTAAGTAAGAGTGATCATGCGGTCTGAGTCTTTAACTTCTATGTGGTTGTGAATAGCGAAGATGTGTCGGCCCGAGCGAGACCAGATGTCTGGAAAGAAAATATACAAGATACTATGCGCAACATCTTCAGTAGATTGGTCAATAGAACGAGAGTGTCCTATGCAACGGCTTAGGATGTGTTAAGAAATTTGTGCATACAAGTTGCTGCACCACACACTCCTTGGACTACATCAA